TGAGCACTCTTTGATTTTCCCTGACTTGTGGTCCAGTGAAGATGCCAGCCTTCACCTTTGCCTCTGATAGCTTGGGAAACAAGTCTTGAAGATACTTGAAGGCTGCAGACTCTTTGTCAAGAGTTGTAACAAACTGTTTCATTAGCCCTAGTTTGATTTTTAATGGAGGGAGCAGAACCTTCTGAGGATCCACCAATGATTTATGTTTGATATTATGTCTTCCTATTGAGAACTCAGTCCTTTGAGGCCAGTTCTTCCTCTGGTAATGTTCTTTCTGCTCTGTCTCTACTATCCTAATGACAGAGACAACAGGGAATCTTGGTAAAACCTCACTGAAGCCACATAAAAAAATGCCACCATTTCGAAGTTTCCAATAACCTCCGAGCCATACATATCATAGTTCAAAGCTTCCAGTAGAAGTTATAAAGAATTGGGAAATGATGTTCATTTCCCAGGAACACTAAAAAAAGTGTAATTAATATAATAATAATAATAATAATAATAATAATAATAATAATAATAATAATAATAATAATAATAATAATATAATAATAATAATAATAAAAATAAAATAAAAATTAAAATAATAATAAATAATAATAAATAGCAGCAATAATAACAATAATACAAATTTAAATAAATAAAATGATAATAAATAATAATGAAAATATAAATGTAAGATAATATAATTGTTATATTATCATTATTGTTTTCACTATTATTATTATATTATCATACATTATTTATTATAAATTATTACAATTATTTTATTATTATTATTATTATTATTATTTATTATTATTATTATTATTATTATTATTAGTGAAAAAATAATACGAATAATATTGAAGATAATAATAATATATTCATATTAATAATTATAATAATAAACAAAACATAATAATAATAATAATAATAATAATAATAATAATAATAATAATAATAATAATAATAATAATAATAATAATAATAATAATAATAATAATAATTAATAATAATAATATTAATGAAAGCATTAATACACATAGGTAGACACAGTGATATTTGTACATAGTGAAGGTCACAATAAGTACAAATTACTTTGCAGTAAACATTTCAAAACTTACCACCTGACCAAGTGTCGTGGTCACTGTCCACCGTGGTGAAACTACTGCCGTTCAGGTTGGCCCAGTCGTGTTCACTCGTAAGTGCATCATTCAGTGTGCTAGTGCTGGTGTAGCCTCCCATTGTGACTCTGTACCTGAGGGAGAGATAATAGTTGATTATCACCAACACTGAACATGTGGTGACAACTGCTAGCTGAGGGAGAGATAATAGTTGATTATCACCAACACTGAACATGTGGTGACAACTGCTAGCTGAGGGAAACATAATTGTTGATTATCACCAACACTGAACATGTGGTGACAACTGCTAGCTGAGGGAGAGATAATAGTTGATTATGACCAACACTGAACATGTGGTGACAACTGCTAGCTGAGGGAGAGATAATAGTTGATTATCACCAACACTGAACATGTGGTGACAACTGCTAGCTGAGGGAGAGATAATAGTTGATTATCACCAACACTGAACATGTGGTGACAACTGCTAGCTGAGGGAGAGATAATAGTTGATTATCACCAACACTGAACATGTGGTGACAACTGCTAGCTGAGGGAGAGATAATAGTTGATTATCACCAACACTGAACATGTGGTGACAACTGCTAGCTGAGGGAGAGATAATAGTTGGTTATCACCAACACTGAACATGTGGTGACAACTGCTAGCTGAGGGAGAGATAATAGTTGATTATCACCAACACTGAACATGTGGTGACAACTGCTAGCTGAGGGAGAGATAATAGTTGATTATCACCAACACTGAACATGTGGTGACAACTGGGTACTGAAGGGGGGAATAATAGTTTGGGTTTTAAACCCAAAAACTGAACATGTGGTGACAACTGGGGAGCTGAGGGGGAGATTAAAAGTTGATTAAACACCAAAACTGAAAAATGTGGTGGGCCCAAAATGCTAGCGAGGAGAATAATAGTTTATTAACCAACACTGAAAAGTGGTGACAACTGCTAGGAGGGAGAATAATAGTTGAAATTTTCACCAACCTTAAAATGTTGGGGGACAACTGGGTAGCGGGGGGGAGAGATAATAGTTGGGTTAAACACCAACACCCGAACAAGTGGTGCAAACTGCTAGTGAGGGGGAGATAATAAATTGATTATCACCCCAACCAAATGAAACAAGGGGGGACAACTGCAAACTGAGGAGAGATAAAAAATTTATTATCCCAAACTGAAAAAAAGTGGTGACAAAGGTAGCTGAGGGAGAGATAATAGTTGTTATCACCAACCCCTGAAAAAATGTGGTGGGCAACTGCTAGCTGAGGGAGAGATAAAAAGTTTTATTATACCAAAACTGAACATGTGGGGACAACTGCTAGCTAGGGAGAGTAATAATTTATTTGGAAACCAAAAATGAACGTGGTACAACTGCCCACTGAGGGGAAAACCCCCAAATTTTTGATTATCACCAAAAGAAAATGTGGACAACTTTCTAGCCCGAGGGGGAGAGAAAAATTTTTGAAATTTTTGACCAACACTGGAAAAATTGGTGACAACTGGGTAGTGGGGGGAAGATAAAAAGTTGATTATCACCAACATGAACAAAGTGGTGACAATGCTAGCTGGGGGAGGATAATAGTTTTATTAAACACCCCAAAAACTGAACATGTGGGACAACCCGCTAGCTGAGGGGGAGAGATAATATTTATTTTCCCAACATGAACATTTTTGGTGACAACTGCTAGCTGAGGGAGAGATAATTAGTTGATTTTCCCCCAACACGAAATGTGGTGACAAAAATGCCTTTGCTGAGGGGGAGATAAAAATTTTGAAAAAAACACCAACATGAAAAATTGGTGGGCCAAAAGCCCAGCTGAGGGAGACATAATTGTTTTAATTTTCAACAACACGAACATTTAAATTGAAAAAAAGCCATCATATTTCGTAATTTTACAGAAAATTGTGAATTTTTTTAAAGTATTAAGTCATTTTGTGCCAAAAAAAAATTTTGATCACTTTCCGGTTTTTTTTTGATTATTTTTTGTTTCAGGGCTTTTCAAGTAAATGTTTCAGGATGTTTGATATATAAAGTTTTAGGTTTTAAGAAGTAAAATAAATTAGGTTTTTAAAAAATTTTAAAATTTCAGCTCACCATTTTGTATAATATTCTTTTCATTGTCAAATTTGAGGGATAAATCTTTGTCCCTCTACGTGAAGCAATTTATTTTTATAGATTTTGTAATTTTTTTTAAAGCATAATGTAAATTTAATTGATTGCAATGGGAAAGGGGGTCAAGTGAGTTTCAATTTTAAATAAAAAAGGGACAGTCTCTCAATGGTTTGACTGACCCCACAAAATGTAATTGAATAGGGATTGGTTTTTAAGTGAAAAATTTTAAAAACATCCTTTGGGTGCGGAAGTGATGCGGGGGGTCTTACTTATATTGCGGGGGGCAATTCAAATGCGGGTTTTGCTTATAGTAAAACGCGGATTTCAGATGCGGATTGCGGGTGTCACAAAATTTTTACATCCCCGCAGATGGGGGCGGATTTTGCAGGATTTTAGCATCCCTATGGAGAAAGGGGGCCCTGGGGCACTTTGTCCCACAGTTTTCTAAAAACAAAAAAAACCCAAACCCCACTTCCCCCCAAAGGGGGCAGTAAAACAACAGCAAAAAAACAAAAACCGATACACTAACATCCCAAAATCTTTAAAAAAAATTTGGAAAGGGGCCTAAAAAGCCAAAATCGCCACCCATTTAGATACCCCCTCAGTTTTCACAACCCCGGGTAACATGGGTTGTGTAAGCCCTTTGACCCAAATTGTGACCTTTGGGGTAACAGCGGCCCCAAAATGTTTCTAAAGGAATAACAGGAAAAGTTTGTAGATGGATCTATAATTTCCTCACAAACAGAACACAAAGAGTAGTAGTCAACAGAGTAAAGTCTGAGGCGGCTACGGTGAAAAGCTCTGTTCCACAAGGCACAGTACTCGCTCCCAAGCAGACTTAAGAAGAGGAATTCTGCTGTTGACTCTCGCCCTGGCAGGTCATAGCAGCTCTCCTTACTTACTCTGTCTCCCTACGATCCCCGTTGGGGAGGGGAACCTTTACCAGCGTTGTCTTCGCCTTGACTTACACGATGAGCTACGCAAATCGTGTAAAGATCAAGCTAAAAAGTGGTACCGTTGATGATTCAACGAAGATTGCACTTGCAACTGTTGTTCAGGGAGCACTGCAAGTAAAATTCAACACCATTTTGTCACTGAAAGAAGCATTCATTGTTGTATGTCACGATGATGCTGAAGCAAGAGAAGCTACTCACTACAGAAGCCACCACTACACTTACTGCTCAAGGGTTTACTGTTACGTCATCTCCTGCCCTCAGGGCAAGGAAATCAGTATTCCTTTAAAAACTGGACAAGATTCTGACGCCCTCAAACACCCTGCTGAACTCAAGTCATCCATCGAGACGCAAAATACTTGGGCTACTGTTGAAAGCATTACAAAAATCCCGAATGCATCGTCCATGCTCAAGGTCACCTTCACCGACGTGAACATGGCTGCCACTGCTCTGAACGAAGGTCTTGCTGTCTACTACTACTACATCAGTCCCACCTACATTGAAGAGAGAAAATTCAGTACTCCAACATTGCGGGAACTGTTATTCATACCATCACCCCACCAAAACATGTCCATCAAAGACAAGAAGTTCTGCACTACATGTTGTAGTGAAGGACACACCTTCAGTTCCTGTACCGCTGCTACTCCACCACAACCATCGTGCTTAAATTGCAAGAGTAATGATCACCATACACTTGCAGCAAAATGTCCTACAAGAAAGGATATTGTGAAGAAAACACAAGATGCAGCAAAGAAAAAACCTACTAGCAACACACCAACGTATGCAGAAATTGCAAAGATACAAGCTAACACTACAAATTACTTCAAGATCTCCAGCCGCCTCCACCATCATCACTCCCCCAACATGTGACATAACCAAGATCCACTACTGTTTACTATACGCTCACATGCAGAACATGGCTGTACCTGGATCTTTTAACTCTACCATCAACGAGTTATTTGCACTAATAATATGCCATCATTCATATTCCCAAATCTCCACCTTCGGAAGAAATACTAAAATTCACCAAGGACCTAATCAACACTTCTGCGCCAGCAGCTCCAACACCACCAACACCTAGTGACGTCACTCCAACAACGTCCAATGAGAAGTCTCCATCGCCTCCACTCCTCAAAGAAACCAACCAATCAGAAGCCTTTCCACCAGAAACATCTTCCCATTCGTCCATTGAAGATGAAGATGTAAATGTACATTCACCAGCACCAACAATACCATCCCAAGACCCAAGATTCGATACTGTACCAGATGAAGATACCGACAAGTATATTGATTGGGTGGAATATCTTTCTGCACCACAGCAAATCATCCTCAAGACATGGAGCCATCTGAACTCAAATCTCACCTCATCCAAAAAACAGTCAAGTTTGTTGAATCTACCGAACATCCTTGTAAAACTGAACTTTCAACCCTTATAAAGCATGCTGAAAAATGCATCAAAAACCCTCGACATCGACACATGTTAACTCGTCTCATGATAACTCCTCTCCAACAATTTAAACGTCTTGAAAATGGAACTATACTCTGCAAGAATACTTTTTTCGTTAAAAAAGTCACAATTCCAAGTAACCACCAAGCCATTATGAAATGACCAATCAACATTGAGCTCCTCCCTTGTCGCCTGCAGCCACCAATCACCATCAAGAAGCAGCAATCTTCCACCCAGCAAGTTGCAGTCAGCACCTGCAGAGTTCCTGTTGTCTCTACATCGTCTTTCGTCATTGTTATTCTGGCTTAGCAGTTGGGTCTAGTCCTGACTCTTCTCTCTTCGACTCAAGACATTCCTCTCACCGTCTATTCTTCGCACTGTCCCCACTTGCCCCTCGCCCCTCGTGGGTCCTTACCTGTGAGTCCGTATCGTATCGTATCGTACTCGCTCCCGTCTTGTTTCTCATCCTCATATCTGACATAGACAAGAATGTCAGCCACAGCACCGTGTCTTCCTTTGCAGATGACACTGCAAGGCTCCAGGCGGACATCAACCAAATCTTTCAATGGCCTAAATGACAAAAAAAGGCACAATACCCTGACTGGAAC